ACATATTTTTTATTTTTTCTGACTAACCGATTACAGATTTTCTAACCGATTGCCATTGTTCTGACAGAGTAATCAGTTAACCGGTTACAAATTGCCATCCCTAAAAAATATACATCAATACATGTGAATGTTATGTTTCCTTAAGGGGATATTAATATGCTGTTTTACCCTGACCTTGGCAGACTGGGCAACAGGTGTTGGGTAGGATTGTGGGATAGCTACACAGCAGAGGGGGGCAGGCCTGAGTCTCACACAGGATGCTGCTACTGTGACACAAACACTGAGTGCAGTTGTCTAGGTACCAAGTCTCCCCCTCCACAAAGTAACGTCCATTCAGAGACTCGCACATTTCCCTTTTTGCCTTTATGGGGTAAAACAATATTTCCTGTAAAATGCAAAATAAATGGAAAGAAATGAACCAGAGCCATTGCTATACTTTGAGTACTCGCAAAAGCTATGAATGAATTTTAATGTTAGTTATGATTAATCGCAGCTGTCTTTGCATGTTTGCGAACATATTGCTCAATGCGTCTCATGTAATCTTGCAACATGCATTTTACAATAATCACTGCAGGATTTATGGGCTTTAATTTGGCATGCTTTGCCACTAGTTGATATACCATGTATAAACATCTCGGACCACATTTGACAATAGCATCTTCTCTTTCATTCAACTGTCAACTGAAGAGCCTTGTAAATGGGCAATATATTCTACGGGCATCCCCCTCTGACTCACATGATCATTCTTACCATGGAATGCATGATCCCAAAAGAGCCCCTCGTCCTACTGCATTGGTGCATGTTCAATTGTCTGATCACCTGATCACTTGCTTGATCCTTTGGCATTATATATCTTACATTTCTGGAAAATTTGGGTCATGCAGATACAGCATCCGAAGCAATTCTGGTAGTGTGCATTCTTAGATGTATCATGCATGCAAGTTTAGTTAACATAGGGCTTATAGTTACTTGGAAATGAGACCTGCACAAAAAATTTAACCAGTGCTCGAAGAACAATAACCTGGTCATTCCTTAGCTGAAATTGAAGCATCTGAAACAATAGTGACTGTTACAATGAAACACACTATATGCATCTTTTATGCATCTTTGTTTAATGTATATGAGGTGCCTTTTTGGTATTTACTGCCAAAAAACCTATTCGAATAGGTGATATCACCTATTCAATTGGTGATATTGAATAAGAAGATTATTTTCGTAATTTTCATCAGCTGAAAAAACGTCACGTGATATTCCTCCTTTTGTGATGTTGACGCAAAAGCACGTCAGTGGAAAATTATATCGCACGACACACCGTTCGGTTGCACTAAAGTTAAGTGGAACGTGACGTCATAATATAAGAAGTGTGTTTTAACCATTGTAATGACAGCCTGTGTCATATAGTGAGACTTCCGCCATAGTGAGACTTCCCCCCGGAAGTCTGGCTATATAGTGAGTCTTCCCCCTGGGGGGAAATATGGCTATATAGTGAGACTTCCCCCCATAATGACCATAGTGAGTCTTCCCCCTTCGGTTTTCGGTTTCGGATTTTATATACATTGACATGATTAGATATTTATTGTATGCTTTACGGACCTTTTAACTTTTATAAATTTTGAAGTATTTTTAGGATTTGTATTTCATTTTGAAATTAAATTTGCGTGATATTAATGAAATTACATCACTATAAAATCAAATAAGATGGATTTGAGTTCTAATACACTTTAAATCAAATTCTGACTGTCATGCATATTTTAGCAAAGGCACCGGATGCATGGATTGGACTTACCCCCCCCCCCCCCCCCCCCCTTTTTTTTTTTAAATTTATGACCGGAAAAATTGCATGAAAATGTGTGTATCCCCTGCTCATCACACCCATACATCAATTCATACAATTATTTTTTTCATTTTGGTCGTGTTTTAAAAATCATTTATTTAAAGATATTTTATTAAACTGGGTTTGGACGATTGGATGTTTGAATACACGTATAAAAAATACGTAAAATTAAAAAAATATATACTGCATTGCAATTGTCACTTAGTTGTCTAAACTATTTTGCACTAAAGTCGAAGATGGCTAATTGTCAATTTTAGTGTGTAGATCTGCTTTGTCGCAATTTCATTTTTACACTTTATACGTTGAAACACAGAGCGTGCATGTATGCGTCAGTCAATACTTGATTGAGATAAGATATTTGAACATGAATTTAAAAAAATAACAAAAATAACTCATTTGTTAACTTCAACACATGTACAAACCAATAAGTTGTTTGTTATTCCTAAATTAACACTATTAGAATTTTTAAAAATAATAAAACAATGTTCCGGAAACAATAATAAAAGGGGGAAGTCTCACTATGAATGGGGGAAGGTTGGCTATAAAGTGAGCCTCCCCCCCGGAAGAACAGCTATATAGTGAAACTTCCGTGGGGCTCACTATACAGCCATTCTTCCGGGGGAAGACTCACTATATAACCAGCCTTCTGGGAGGAAGACTCACTATATAGTGAGCCTTCCGGGGGAAGCCTCACTATGCGACACCGGGTCTGTTCAGTTAGGACTGTGTCAGTGCATTCACTTTGAGTGATTATATAATATAACTATTATGGACTTCAGTGAACAGTCAATATGTGGTTATAAGGACTCATGGCAATATTGATATTTATACATTAATATTGATATATTATATAAGAAGATAATTTTCGTAGTTTTCATTGGCTGAAAGTACGTCACATGATATACCTCCTTTTGTGATATCGGTGCAAAAGCGCGTCCGTGGAAAATAATATCGCACGACACAACGTTCCGTTGCACTAAAGTAATGTAGTATGTGACGTCATAATCTAAGAAGCGTGAATTTAACCATTATGACGTAATGACAGCCAAGTCCATTCAGTTAGGACCGTGTCAGTGCATTCAATTTGAGTGATTATATAATATAACTATTATGGACTTCAGTGAACGGTCAATATGTGGTTATAAGGACTCATGGCAATTGCCATGAGTCCTTATAACCACATATCGACCTACACTGAAGTCCATAATTGTATAATATTGCAGGCTCGGTCGCTATTACTTTCTGTGTCTTCGGTCAATATCAATTGCCATGAGTCCTTATAACCACATATCGACCTACACTGATGTCCATAATTGTATAATATCACCTATTCAATTGGTGATATCACCTATTTGAATAAGTGATATCGATTGGAATTGGTGATATCACCTTATCATTTTGAATAGGTGATATCACCTATTCAAATTATTTATGAAATAACAGCAGCTCCCAAGGCTATAGGTTCTTATATCTCATTTTCTTTCACTTTTGTTTCATAACTCATCATTCTCGGAGACAATGGATCACTGTGAGTTTGCATTTAGTTTTAATCACCCTAGTAGATATTGTAGTTTGTTTTGATCACAAATTAATTTATTACACTTACCTATCATGTATACTGTAAGACCAGATGTGTTTGTGAAACACTGATGCCCCCCCTTTCATTCTTGTCCCCTAAGATTGACCCCTTTAAAAGTTAGTGCCCCTTTGTATGAAAAACCTTGTTATCACTACTCCTCCGAAACCGTAAACTGTAGAGATATAAAACCTTCAACAATGTCTTTGACTAATTTAGCAGACTCTTCAATCTATTCAGTGCAAAAGGATTCATAAACCCCTTTGAGTAGTTATAGCCCCTGACAGTCTATGTTATTATACCTCTACTGATTTTTCACTATATAAAAGTAAATCGATATATTTTGCTGATTTCCTAATATAATCACCGTAAATAAACCGATTCCCTGCAAAACAGACTGATTCCCTGCAAAAAAAGTACGTTTTTATGATGAACTGATACACACCTATTCGGAATGCTTGACATTTTCTTTCAACTTACGACAAACTTAAAAATGTTCCGAATAAACTCATGAATATTCATTATTGAATCGAAATGCATCGCAAGTCAACTGGTCCCATATCAATCAAAAAGAACCAGTTTACTGGAAGCGAACAACAACAGAAATGGCGTGCTCAAATTTGAGTAATGTAACTTTCGATTTTACTTAGTAAAAACTCGGACAATGAACTGATTTATTGATAAAATGGAATTCCTTTCATGGCTGTATTCTGTTTTGTCATATTTTTTATCTATTCCTGTTGGAATTAAACATTGTTACTGAATACAGTATTGAATATAATTTTTTTTCAAATGTCTTGTTTGTATCGGTATAATAAAACAGTTAAAATATATCATTGAGGGAGTCAGCGAGATTCCAGTTCCCCTCGAAAAAGACTATTTCCCTCGGCGCAAGCTCCTCGGGAAATAGACTTGCTCTTGGGGAACTGTAATCTTGCCGATTCCCTCAACGATATACTTTAACTGTATAATGTTTACGAATAATTAAAACTTTCTAAATGACAAGTCATAAAGACATTGGGCCACCTGCATAAGAGCTGTTGACCTTCACCTTCAAATTTAGGTCATTGAAAAACTACAGGAATTGTTGATAAAAGCTTTTTATCCAAATGACCTTGACTTTTGACCTTGACCCTTACTGAAAAGTAAAAAATAAATATTCATTACCTTTTCCTAGATTCAGTTTCAAGAGTTGAACTCAAGTTTTTTTGTTTGGTGTGTGTGTGTGTGTGTTTGGAATGACCTTGACCTTTGAACTTTCACCCCATGACCCAAAGGTCACAATCAAGCTTATATAGGTTCGTGGAGGTATTTACAACTTTCACTTTAACAAATGCAAGAATTTATTCCCCTCCCCCCTTTCTCTTAAAAAAAATCAATAGCAACGTAGAAATATCTGAAAAACACAAATGACACCTCGGATTGACATAAAAAAGTTCAGAAACCTGTAGAAGAGACCCCATAGAGAGTTTACTAATAGTTTCACAGTGAGTCTCATAAGTATAATATGAAATGATAAATTTTATCGGTAAAAAATTAAAAAAATTCTTTACCTGAAATTTAGGTGCTGATGAGCATAAAAATAAATTAAAGCTTGTATTGGCTATTTCTTCAGTTGTTGTTAATAGCACTCCTGCTCTAGTTCGACATTTTAATACCAAGTATTCTTGCTTTAGCATGTGGAATTTATTTCAATTTTATTATTTTAGATTTAATATTAACCCCTTCCATGGCAAAGATTTTAAGGTAGTCCGATCCTCAGGTTTATAAAATTAGCTGTTAAGTGATTAGAAATACTCATAAAAGTATCTCTGAATCCACAAAGTTATGTAAATTTATCCACAGTATTTCTATAAAGTTAAAGGTTTAAGTTAATCATATCATATAGGAAAAATTGTCAAAATTCCAATATTTTTGCAGAAAAAGAGAATTGGAATATCTGCAATGCATTTTCTAATTGCAAATTGATCAACAATTATATTTTAGGTTTAAAAACGATAGGTATCCAGGCATTAAGAGAAATTGTCCTGATTTTTATACTTTTTTGGTATATTTTGTCTTCTATTTCCATCGTGTATTCTATATTCATAGTATAAAAGGCTTTTGGTATCATTGCAAGACACCACAAATCACTTCTAATTTCATATCATGCTATTAAGCATTGGTATCTAAGGCTGGATTCAAGAAAATCTTATTTCTCTTAAACTGTATTAATTTTATTCCCTTTTGTAGGGTACAAATGTCAACTTTTATAAGACCTTTTCTGAGAGTTCCAAAAACGTTGAATCTTATATAGATAAATAGAATGAAAATTGTTGCATGAAAAAAAATCATTTTCAAGCTTCATTTTGATGTATTTCAAATTAAATATTAATTTTTGGAGTTATCTTTCCTGACTGAGGATCGGATATCCTTAAGCATTTCTGGAGAAATTGATGTTAAGATTTCAATGCATTTTTTGGGATATTTCTTGTAATTTTTGTATATACCAATGTTTATATATTCTGAAAGCAGGTATTGTGTAGTTTCTGAAAATGATACTAAAAATATCATCTCAGTTGCCAGTCCAGAATAAACAACTTATCAGTAAAAGAATAAATCATGCACTTATATTTAGTCACTTATCAGAAATTTCTGTAAGGGCTAATAATAACTCTAGCCTTTTTAGCCTAATATTATCTAAAACTATCAAGTGTTCCTGTTAGTATGTCAATAAAGCCAGGAAAGTAAATGGTTGCATTTTTTCTGAAACACCCTGTACATTCATAAGATTCATGTAGATACATCCCCTCCTATGGTACATGTACATTCGTTCTCATCTGGTTTCCAATATTTAGTAAAATTCTAATACTTACCAGGACAGGAAAGACAGCAGTCTCCAAGCCTGAAAACAGGGCTTGTACAAGAGGGGTGTGGGCAGGATATCAGGGCACACATCTCCTGCCCCCCATAACAGTAACACATCCGACACCCGTCATGCCAGGAATCCCCATCCTCATGGAGCTGACCTTCTACAGACAAGCAGGACTTTCCTGTATGCTTTGAATCATATCTGGAGGGAGTGTTATTAAGTCTACTGTTATCTGGGGAAAAAATAGGAACTGTAAAATAATAAATCACTAAACTATAGCTACTTTTGCAGTCTGACTTGCCTATGCCATGGACTGATTTATAAACAAATTAGATAAGCATTGTACTTTGATGTACAACCTTCTTTCACAAAATGCCTCCTTTTATCATCTAAGACATATAAAATATATTATTTCTTTTTATTAAATATTACAATAAAAATTATTAAAATACAAGCATCAGTGACACTCTTAGCACTGATTATTACTGTAAACTCTTGCTTTAATTTGCAATTTATGGAAGATGGTAGCATATTTATTTTCCATTTTAAACTCTAGCTTTCATTCACCTAATGCAACTCAAATATATCACAGCTATGAAGATCTTTTATCTTAACCAGGAAAAGTCAGATTAATTGTGTAGATAATGATGTGTTTACATATACTTTCTTACAGCTATGTAAATAAACAAGATGCCAACTTTTGGCTGAGCTCAATTCTATGTATGGTCTCTTTAGGTCAAGTAGTCAAATTGAAAAAAATTAATCCCTTCCCATAAATGTGCTAATTTTCTACCCTTCCATCATTTACATGATCAGCTCAAAGGAAAAAGGCTATTCTCCTGTTGCCAAATGTCAATGGTTGAAAGCATGTTATGAAAATAAATGATCATATCCAGCAAGGCAGTGAAAAAATGTGTCTGATTTTATCAAATCCAGACCTTGAAATTTTTAATTAGTTGAATTGCTGGACTTCTTTAGGAACAATAAAGTTCCCCACCACAGCATGATACACCCATCAAATATTGTTCAATAATCATAAATTGGTTTAAAGTGCAAGAAAATCAGCTGGTAACCTTGATTACCAGATTGACACAGATTTAAATGACCTTTCCAATCCCTTATCATGTTTGACGTACACACATCTCTAAGAGACTTACAGTGTAGGTATTAATTATAACAAATAATACATCATATAATTCTAAACTGGCTGAGTTACAGCTTAACAAATATTCATTTGCAGCTTTGTTTATTGCATATTTTATGACTGATTAAATATGCTTCAATCTAATAAAACATCAAAAATAAAGTATTCTTTAGACTTTAAGTGAGACATGACACTCCAATTTGTTGCAAATTAATACATAAAAAATTAAAATGAAAAAAATATTATACATTGTACGCATGTATATTAAGTTTTAATTATATTATACAATATTAATTTAGTTTTAATCATGCACTGTATTTTAAAACATCAGTTTGTTTTAATTACATTACACCAATTGAAAGACCTTAATTTATCTTGAAAATTAGACTAGCCATCAAGAAGTCTTTAACACAAGCAATTATAAGGCAGATTTCTTTTGCCCAACTCCCAAGAGATAGAGATAACAGCTGCTTGATCAGAGATGCTCTACCAGTTAGCTCCTGAAAATAAACTTAATAATTTCTCTCTAATTTGACATGCAAATTTCTGCAATCAAAATTTTTCTTGACCAATGCTTGATAATTATGCCCATGGGAGAAACTGAATTTCTCTAATATCATTACCGTCCGCCAGGAGGCGGTTGGTTATTTGATATGAAAGTTTGAAGTCGCCCTGTGAGTAAATTAAAACAATTTAATAAAAAAAATTTAACATTCATAAAAGCACAGTTTTGGGCATAGTCTAAAGCAAAGACCGCATTTTATACATGTATAAACAACTTTACTTTCTCTTAAACAGGATTTTTGTATATATTTTAAGGGTCCTCCACACACATACAGCTTATGTTCTCATATTATTGAGCATTACTTTTAACAAGCATATCAACCTCTAAAAACTGACCAGGGATTAAAATGTAATTTATACGGAATTTTTAAAATAATAATTTAACAATTTTCAAAAAAATTTTCCCAAGGCGTTTTCATATGTAGCATAAAATTTTTTATCTTACCCTATTGTATATTTTTATGCTCACAGAATAACCATAAAAATCTAATTTTTTCGATCAACATATTTTTTAGAGAAATTAATTTAATTTATAAAAAAAATAAATAAAACTCATTTTCTCTCAAATACATCTAGAGAAAAATCAAGGAAGACTCATTTTGTATAGAAGAAACATCAATGAATTAGATTACACCAAAAAATTGAATTAAAATTAAATGCACTAATGTAGAAAAAATATTTTCAAAATCAGTGGTATCAAAGTTCGTTTTTGGAGTTATCTTTCCTATTGCCCGGGACTCAAAAACTTTAGCAAAGCTCCGCAATAGTTACTCATTATCGGCTACTGAACCAGACAGAAATACATGTAAAAGAGGAAAACTAGAAACGCACACTATTATATTAATATTTATTAGGGATGTCAACGAATATTCGAATATTCATTCGATACGTTGATATTCGAATATAAATTTAAGATTCGAATATTCGTTTTTTAAGTGTATATCATTTAAAAGAGAGAAAAATCTGTCAAGTTTTAAAAATCTAAAACCAGACAAATAGTATCGAGCATATGATTTGATACAAGATTTGAAAACATTACTCTTGGATTATCTTTAAGGTGTGAAGATTGTCTCTATCAAAACATTCATTTGATAATTAAATTAGTAGTATAACAGTGTTTAGTAATTACAATTAGTTTTAATTGTTGTATGGACACAGTTGTACACTTATACACATGAATCCCTTGTTTATGTTTATACAATTAAGAATCATTATCAGGAAATCAATTAACTAAGAATAATTGCTTGTAAGATATCTGTTTTTATTTCAAAACTCAATAGATCAAGATAATTTTCTCCAGTAAGTAATTGGTATGCGTGGTATACATTTGTAGGAGTCATCAGTGAAGTTTTGAAATTTCAAAATATTTTTTTTAGAATTATGTTTTAGATGTTTACCCTTGATATATTCCATAGAATATTTTGAAAATATATAATTAGGATACTTTTAGTGAATAACTGTACATTTACAAAACTTTACTTTAAATTTAATTCAAATAAATAATGGCATATGATAAAACGTATACTGGTTGACAGGAGAGTAAAGATATCTATATTATAATTCAAAACATATTTATTTCATCGAATATTCGCACGAATATCAATTGTTGACAATATTGACATCCCTAATATTTATATAAACACAATGAGATGATGTATTATTGAAACGCACAAATTAGTGTGCAAAAATATCAACTTTCAACACAGACTCTGTTGACGATCATATGTCAGTGGGTTGATTAGCCTGAAAGTATAAATAACCTAAGAGTTCTCGTCATACCGGCACTCGTTGTTTACGAATTATTATGTAACATAAACCTAGTCGTTTGTCTGTCTTTTATAGAAAAAACGGACATCTTTTTCTATCGGTCACTCTGTGACCATATGCCATGTGTTCATTGTTATGAGTGTCCTACATACTTTCTCTTTCGAAGACACTCTTACAAGCGGTTTCCAGGCAATTCGACGATGCAAAAACTAAATAAAACCGGAAGTACAAGTATTTTTTCTCTATATACGTCACAAGTCACATGGTGTGGAGGACCCTTAAAATGATGTGTATATATGTATACATTTCCAATGGAAATTTTTCAAAAATATGATTAAATGCTAATTTATTATCTGACAGAATTAGTATTGGGAGATTTTGTTCCAACAGACGACGATGAAGTGCGTTTTACAATATGCCAAGCCTTTTCCCACCACATCTCACACCAAAATAAGAAAGCAAAGAGAAGAAAAGTAGTGGCGGATCTAGAGGGAGATTAATGCGAGCGAGGTTAATGACCTTGTGACTTTGACCTATATGCTAAAAATGGATTTTTCGAATTTTCGCCATTACCTTTGAACCATAGGAGATAGAGACTTCATATTCGATATGCTTACTCCACTAATAAAGTTCTTTCAAGTGACACCAAGATCAATGACCTAGTGACCTTGATTGTGATCCATATGCTCAAAATAGCTTTTTGGAACTTTCGCCATAACTTTTAAACCATAGGAGATAGAGACGTGGTATTTGATATGCCTACTCCACTAATTGAGTTCAATGACCTTGTGACATTGACTGTTACTTATATGCTAAAAATAGCCTTTTTGAACTTTCTTGCCGCCGGGTGCATAGTTTTTCACAAACACATCTTGTTACTTATTTTTGATAAAATTAAAAGTTGCTAATGCAGAGACCAATTCACTTGCATTAACCGTTCAAAATACGTTCACCATTTGCTCTTCGTTCCGTTTACTTTGCGTTCAACGTTCACTTATCGTTCAGTCTTCATTGTCATTCGGAACTCTGAAGTGAAAGGACTTCTCTTTTTGATGGTAAGGATTTACAAAATTTTAATTAAATAACTTTGATATCGTGTTTGAAGAATAATTATTTCATTGCAAAAATTATCTATGGTATTTATATTTCTATTATTATAACTCAGCTGCTACTTATTTCATGAAATTTCATTGTAAAATAATACATTAAGTACCTACATGTATGTAGAACGATGCTAAAATATAAATTTTTAAAAAGGGCAATGTACAAATGCTTCAATTTGTTGTAATTTTAAAGATGACAAATCATTAATGGATGTATAATAATTAATCCAAGTCTTTTACAAGAAAAAAATACACAAAAAATTATTTCTACAGTAACTCGTATTTCAAAGTACACGTAGGTCTGAGAATTATGAACAATACTGCAAATATTCAGTAAATTAAGTATCTTTAGAGCTAATTAAATTGATGGTGTGATTTTAAATTTTAGAAAAGACCAACTGTTTAAAATAGTCTATTATTAGAGAAGGAAAATTCCTTCTTTCACCTTACCTAAACATATGTTTAAATAAATGTTTGCCATTCAGTATAATTAAGACCCCCCCCCCTTAAATTCTTAGTGAGTATTTTCAGTATATTTTGATTAATATTTAATTTGTATTTTAACACAAGAAAATCAGTCTTCAAACAAACATCAAACGGTCATTAAAGAATAGTATTTTAGAAAACACTTGTGCCGACAGTAGTATTTTAAATTGGCAGGGAATATGTTTCAAATTCAATTTAAAACTTAATCCTTCCAAGTATATATTCCCATTCTTTATTTTTTCTGCAGGAATTCAAAAATCAGATCTAGAAATGATAGGGAAAAATATTAAAACTCCTTGGAAATACTAAGTGACTCTTTGCCTTCGGCATGTTCGGTGAAATGCGATTTCCACACATCCACTGTGTCGAATGATTTTGATTGACAGGACAAGCATGCTACTAGCACGTGGACTTCCTGTGAACCGTGTGAACTTGATGGAAAATAAAAGCCAATGATTACTGTCAAATGGATCTGTTAATCTAAAAAAAATTGATTACCTTTACTGCTTGGAATATTTAGGAAAAATAATAAGAATTTTTAATTGATACAACAGATATCTGAGAATTGAGGGGGTATCTCTCTCTCTTTTTCTCTCTCTCTCTCTCGTTCTCTCTCTCTCTCTCGTCTATTTCTCTGTTCAATATAAACTTTGACAGCACATTACTTATTTAGTTTTGAAAATTTAATCTATTACAAATAATTTGAATGCCTCTTTTCATCATCTAATGACCGAGTATAATCAAGGCCGGGAAATGTTTACAGAAGTTAGCTAAAATAATCATGATAAAAGAATACAAAAGACACACAAATATGGAATATTTTGCATTAGAATTTAAAACAAACGAGAGTTTTTATGCAATACGTCGACAGACAACTGTGAATTTAAAAAAAAAAAATCCGTTATTTTACTCAGAATTGCCTTGGCAAGGAAATACATATATGGTTGTCTCAACCGCGTACAATGTAATTAATTCATTCTATAAGTAGTAGTTTTATCTTCAGAAGTCCACATTATTTTATAAGTGAAAAGAATAAGCATATTTACTATATACTAGTAAATAGATTAATTCTATATTTAATCTACACGCATTCGGTAACAAATACACATGTTTTACGGCAATTAGAATCGTCTTATAAAAATATCGATTTAAAACATAGGTACATATATGAACAGAAAAAATGGTTTTTTTAATTAATTTATTTATTTATAAATTTATCTATTGTTTATTTATATTAAAACACCTGGAATTAGAATTATAGAATAAAAGAATAATCTCAATGCAAGGAAAAAATCGGAGGCATTCCGAATAAATCGTTCATCTTGCATTCACCGTTCGTTCACCATTCACTTTGCGCTCGCGTTTGTGCTCCGTTCGCGTTCTGCATTCACTCACTGTTCACACATTGTTCACCAAGTTGCGTTCAGCGTTCGCACATTGTTCACTCACCGTTCACTCTGCGTTCGTTCACCGTTTGTTCAGCGTTCGTTCACCCTTCAGGTGGGAAAGTAGAACGTTTCAGGGTCTGTACTGAGGTGACCAAAATTTGAAAAAGTTGAACAAAATTTAATCCCCCACAAACATTTCTGTTTCTACAGTAGTGTTTTTTGTTTATATTACAGTGCATACCTTATTTACAAAGATTAGTGTGCATACCTTTACATTTACAAAGTTTACAGTCCTGATGATTTTCCGTGTAACCATTTGCACACTTTTTGCCACATGAAAATGGTGGACACTTGTTACAGCTACACTTCTGACAACCATTGTTAGCCACTTTTAGTCCGTATGTACATTGTTTTTTACAGTTTTCCAGCGATGGGCAGATAGAATAAGGTTTGGCGCACTCACAAATTTCCATTCCTTTGGAGTCCAGTTTGTAACCATCCTTGCAGTCTAAGTAACAATTAGCTAAAAAGAAGAAGATTTGACACCCTCATCCATGAATTTATCTCCACAACATCCAGGTCTAATATCCATTGCAGGACAAACAAAATGACTGGCTTTTCCAAAGCCAACTTTCCCTATTTACATAGTAATATTCCCCTATCATTTGATCGTCAATAATATGATCTGGTAGCTAAATAAAGTAGGACAGGCTACTGACAATTTTTCAATGACCCCATCTTTTTTTTTGTCTTATCTTGATTATCTCCCCTTATAGGAGGACTAGGCCCTTCATATTCATAATCTAACTCCCCTCCCCGCAAGGATGCTTTGAATCAAGTTTGGTTAAAATTGGCCCAGTGGTTCTTGAGAAGCAAGAAATGTGAAAAGTTTACAGATGGATTGACAGCTAAATGGACGGATGGGTGGACGACGGACAACGGCCAGTGATCAGAAAAGCTAACTTGAGCTTTCAGCTCAGATGAGCTAAAAATGTTAGCAATATAAAAATATATAGGGAAAAGCAGTGGGAGGAATTTTACAGTCACATATGACAATTAGTCGCTTAATACAGTGGGTTGCTATCACAGTTTTTACTGCATTAACGACCTTGTTTACAAATTAAACCCATCAACAATGAGTTGTATTTTGGGTTTCATGTTTCAAACTGTTTTTTTTTACTACAGAATATTCTGTGTATCAGTTCAACACACAGGGCTTACAGCAGCTGTGACCAATCAATGAAGGATGTTTACTCCTCCTGAGCACCTGATCCCACCTATGGATTTTCTGGGGGTCCATGTTTTATGGCCTTAATATTATCAACAATGATTTTTCCTTTGACAGTTTTTTCAGAAGAGTTTGTGAATAAGTGAAATATTTTGCACATGGTCAAATACAGCTAGGGCATGTGATTTATAAAGAATATTGTAAAAATTTCCAGTTGAAAATATAAAAAAAAAAATTCTTAAACTAATCACCTGGCTTGCATTTACAAATGTAGCAACTTTCTTCGTTGAGCTGGAAGCCACTTAGACAGTTCAGGGAACATTTGTTTAGATCTGGACACTGATCTCTCTTCCTGAAGGAATCATCATCTAAAAATATTCAATAAAAAGAACCTTAATTATCAACTGCACTCTTGATAAACTCAACAAAAGAAAAAAAAACAAATTAGGCACAGTGTTCCATCAAACTCTGCCTTTTAGTTACCTGAAAGGTGCATGGCTGAAAGATAACTGATGGCAGAGCTCATTGACCAATTAGTTACCTGAAAGGTGCATGACTGGAAGGTAATGGATGGCAGAGCTGAGTAACCATTTAGTTACCTGAAAGGTGCAAGACTGAAATGTAACTGATGGCAGAGCTGAGTAACCATTTAGTTACCTGAAAGATGGATGACTGAACTCACTGAAGGTGACTGATGGCAGAGCTCAGAAACCATTTAATTACTTGATGATGCATGACTGACAGATGACTGATGGCAGAGCTGAGTAACCATTTAGTTACATGAAAGATGCATGACTGAATGATGGCAGAGCTGAGTAACCATTTAGTTACCTGAAAGATGCATGACTGAACTTACCGAAGGTGACTGATGGCAGAACTCAGAAACCTTTTAATTACCTGAAAAATGCATGACTGAAAGGTGACTGATAGCAGAGCTAAGTAACCATTTCGTTACCTGAAAGATGCATGACTGAAATGTAACTGATGGCTGAGCTGAGTAACCATTTAGTTATATATCTGAAAGGTGACTGATCGCACAACTTAAAAACTTAACACTTTTCAACTTTTTACACAACCATATCAATGTCAGCTGCTTTTTCAATAAAAATGGAACTCTTGAATTTACTTACCTTGTCATTGGTCATTTGCAAAAATATTTTGTTAACTAGAAATATGTCCATAGGACATGAATGCCCCGCCGAGGATATATTAGTAAAGCTACATGCAAATTTGTATGTGTATAAAATTTGATCAGAATATCTTGAATAGTGATGCAGCTGAATTGCTTTACATTAGTATGTATCAGCATATGAAGTTTGACACTAATTTCATTAAAGTGAGGTCCCTAGATGCATCATCCATGCAAGTTTGGTTCAGGCAGGGCTTATAGTTACTTGGGAATGAAAATATAGGTCAGATCCAGCAACCGAAGCAAGTCTGGTAGTGTCCATCCCTAGATGCATCATCCATGCAAGTTTGGTTCAGGTAGGGCTTATAGTTACTTGGGAATGAAAATATAGGTCAGATCCAGCATCCGAAGCAAGTCTGGTAGTGTCCATCCCTAGATGCATCATCCATGCAAGTTTGGTTCAGGCAGGGCTTCTAGTTACTTGGGAATGAAAATGTAAGTCAGATCCAGCATCCGAAGCAAGTCTGGTAGTGTCCATGCATCCCTAGATGCATCATCCATGCAAGTTTGGTTCAGGTAGGGCTTAAAGTTATTAGGGAATAACAATGTAGATCAGATCCAGCATCCGAAGCAAGTCTGGTAGTGTCCATCCCTAGATGCATCATCCATGCAAGTTTGGTTCAGGCAGGGCTTATAGTTACTTGGGAATGAAAATGTAGGTCAGATCCAGCATCCGAAGCAAGTCTGGTAGTGTCCATCTCTATATGCATCATCCATGCAAGTTTGGTCTAAGTAGGGCTTTTAGTTCCTAAGGAATGAACCTGCTCCAAAAACTTTAACCTGGTCACTAATATAGAAAATGTAGGTCAGATCCAGCATCTGAAGCAAGTCTAGTAGTGTTCATCCCTAGATGCATCATCAGTGCAAGTTTGGTTTGGGTAGGGCTTATAGTTCCTTGGAAATGGACCTGCTCCAAAAACTTTAACCTGGTCACTCATCTGGAAAATGTAGGTCAGATCCAGCATCCGAAGCAAGTCTCGTAGTGTCCATCCTTAGATGCATCATCCATGCAAGTTTGGTCCAAGTAGGGCTTATAGCTCCTTAGGAATGGTCCAAGTAGGGCTTATAGTTCCTTAGGAATGGACCTGCTCCAAAAACTTTAACCTGGTCACTCATCTGAAAAATGTAGGTCAGATCCAGCATCCGAAGCAAGTCTGGTATTGTTCATCCCGAGATGCATCATCCGTGCAAGTTTGTGTCAATATGTGAAGTTTGATAACACCATCTTGAATGGTATGTTTAAAACTGAGCTAAACACTAATTTAAGAAAAGTGAGGTCAAGGTCAAAGGAAAGGTCAAGGTCAAAAAATGTTGATGCAGTTGCATAGCTCTCATCAATATCTATCAGCATATGAAGTTTGATGAAAATATCTTGGATAGTTTCTTTGAAACTTAGCTTTGAACAGAGCTAAACGCAAAGTGTGATGGAAGGACAGACGGAAGGACGGAAGGACGGAAGACGGACATGACACACACTATATGCCCCAGCCATATTCATGGTGGGGCATAAAAATCATTCTGATTGTACACTGAAGTACTCTATCAAGATGACATCAAAAAGATGCTGGAGTTTCTGATTGACAATATCTATGGGTTTTTGGAGACACTGTGGCCCTTTTCAAAAAAAAAAAATCTTACGATTAAGATGAAAATTTTCCCATTCCTAAACCAGTATCTAAGCTGTAGTAGGACATAAAATTTTTTCTTTTTTATGACTTTAAGTTATTTAGTATAATATAAAAGAAAAAATTAAATACAGTATATCTATTTCAGAAAATATTTAACAAGAGGCCCAAGGGCCTTGAATTGCTCTTCTGATAAATTGTACAATCTACCACTTCTATTTGAAGCCAATACTGTAAACGTATAACATTTGGCGGTGTATCCTTTTTCAGCGTTTTTGGCGGAAAGAAACTTCCGCTAATTCAAGTACAATGCTAAATGTCTTAAACATAATACATTTATAAGAACATTAAGAAATGCGCTAAACCAAATCTACGCTAACTTGTTCAAAAATCATTTTCTGCCAAATATTGTACACGCTAAATATAATACATTTAACTCTAAGTTAATAAGACACAAGATGCATCAACTGACAAAGTTTGATGATTCTTAGCCAGTTAGGACTGAAGATATTTCAATATAGCTATAAAATACCTTAAGTAGGTCAAGGTGACCTACTTTTTGATTGAAATTTTCTGAAGACTCAAGATGCTTTAATTGACAAAGACTGATGATTCTAAGCTTTTGGTCGACATTCTCTGAAAACCCAATATGCATAAACGGACAAAGTTTTGATGAATCTAAGCCAATAATTAACCGAGATACTTAAATATAGCCATAAAATGTCACATGTAGGTCACCATGACCTACTTTTTGGATGACGTTCTCTGAAAAGCCAAGATGCACTAACTGACAAAGTCTGATGATTCTAAGCCAATAAGTACCCGAGATATTCAAAAGTAGGTCAATGTGACCTACTTTTTGGTCGACATTCTCCGAAAACCCAACATGCCTCAACTGACAAAGTTTAAAAATTCTAGGCCAATACTTAAATATAGCCATAAAATGTCAAAAGTAGGTCATGGTGACCTACTTTTTTGTGTTGACGTTTCCTGAACAACCAAGATGAATCAATGACAAAGTTTGATGATTCTAAGCCCATAAGTACCTGAGATATTCAAAAGTAGGTCACCATATTTTGATATCCATCAAAATCAAATTGAAAATGAATCCTTTCAAAATTTTCTTGTCAGACAGCTCTCAAAAAATTTGCATATTTTTCTGATCCAGTGGTTCTTGAAGAGATTTTTAAAATAATGATTGTTTGCATTCTCCCGACTCACAAAAAATAAATTGGGTTCAAAGGTAGGTAGAGAATTTTTCCCCCAGCAACTTAAAACATATTTGTTGACAAGATTGAGGGGGAAAAAAGTAAAATAAAAGATGTTTGTAAAACACTAATGCCCCCCTCCCCCAAATAAATTGAATTTTTCTAAGTCCAAGGGGCATAAATCTGTGCCAAATTGCTCGATCATATCCAAAACAGATCTTGGCCTAGATATTCTTATGATAAATCAATATGCTGAATTTCATTTCAGAATGTGCAACGGTTATGAAGAAAATAAGTGGACCGACAGACCAACCAACCAACAGACAGCAGCAATTAAAGCAATATGCTCTCCATTCTTCAAAGCGGGGCATAATAAATTGTTTCCTGGAGATTAAGGTTTTTAGCCAGTCGGTAGGGAGATGGTAAACAAAAAATTTTCTATAACACAGCCTGATTCCATCCAATTTTCACTTTTTCATAATCATCTCCTGAAGATGGTATATGGCCAATCATAAGAATAAACTTAAAGATAAACATAAAGCTCCTTTATCCAAGGATACCCTATACCAAGTTTAGCTGAAACTAACCCACTGGCTCTTCACCAGAAGACATTACAAAAAGACAAACAACTAATAGAAAGGCTCACTAATTGAGCTTTCAGCTATGGAGGTGGCATTTTGTGGTGGTACATGATTGCATGTGGAGAGGTACTAAGCTAGGGTAAAGGTTGAATTTTACTGCAGATTTATCAGTAAATGGTTTACTATAATTGGGAAGAGAGTCTACAGATACATGCCATCACAGACAGGGCAGCACTGGCCAGAGATTCTCCTGGGGCTGGAACATCTGGTCTCACAAAACATAGACTTGCACTCTGCTTTTCCATTCACACATCTACAGGAAGTACAATCATCCTCCTGCCAGGTTGCATTGTGAACAACATCTCCACTCCCTGTCAAACAACCTACAAGTACAGGATACAAATTTAAATAAATTAATTTCTCATATATTATACTGTTAATATCTTTTTATTTGCAAGAACCTTATTTTCGCATAAATTAAGGGCGACGGTGTGCTGGCGAAAATTAAATTCTCAAGACTGATAAAAGTATTCCTTAGGATTAGCAATAAGCACAATTAGTGAAAATTTTGTCTTGCTTAGGCCAGTCCAAGTTTTTTCTCTGTTTAGCATCCACCCATCTTTCAAAAACCTACCAACCTATTCGCAAAAAACACACAAGCCAAAACATAAAACACAGGCTTAAAAGTCATGAAAATGACGCCCTTCAAATGATTTGATCTTACTAAACTGCTTTAATAGAAGAAATAACTTTTTTTTTTTTTTAAATACACCCAATATAACTTACTGTACAGAATTATTTGGAGAAATTGACAAAATTCAAAAATTTCGACTAAATTAATCAATTTCAGGACTCCTGATGTTGTGTGTTTTTTCTTATTTGGGGTATCAAAAACCAAGGCGCACACGGACGCTAAACATAGAAAAAACTTGGAATGGCCTTATATGTAATTTATCAAGAGTCAATGACTATCTTGCGAAAATTAAGTGATCTACAGTATCTAGACATTATTTATGTTATAGTGAACTACATTTTTTACAAACACAAGATACATGTACCATGTTTTAAGTATACAAAAATTTGCCCTTTTAAGGTATTTCCACCCTTACAATTTTAATGGTTAAAAGTACAAAAATTAAATTTATTTTCATTTAATATAGTTTAAATTTGCCAATTATTTCCAAAAATGTATAGGTCTCCATATTATTTAAGATGGGAGATGTAAATAATCAGAAGCATTTGTCAACATGAAAAATTGTACATTTTTTTGTAAACAGCAAATGTATCATAAATATTTTCTAAAAACTGAGTCAAATGCATAATTATGATGCTGAAAGTTCCTAAATACTTGCTTTGAATTGTGAATATCAGGGAAACTATTTAACATTAGAAGTACGATAAAGAAAATGCTGAATGAAGCTACCTGTGCAGGAGTTATTGCCCTTGTCAACATTTTTTAAAGAATGAATAATTTTATTAAGTAAAGGAAATATGCATTTTTTAAATTCTTTTACTTAACAATATTTGTCATTACATCTATGGAAAACCATTCTTTCAAAATATATTGTGCTATCGGGGTATGAATTTAATTTAATAACAGCTAGTTTTTGCAAAAACCTATGACATCACAGGAGGGTGGAATTACCTTAAATATTTTCATTACTATTTATCTAGATTGTCTTTCAACAAAACCTAGCTAGTAAACTTCTTTAAATGCTTTTTAAAGCGTCAAGACATTCTCTGTCAGTGGCCATTTTGTTTACAGGACAAAATGACAAAGTCTTGGTGGAATGTGATCGTCTCACTACCCTACGGTCAGCCTAACAGAAACGGTGACCTGTTACTGACTTGTTCTGAAACGCCCCCTTATTTAATTTTCATGTCAAATTCACAAAATTCCTATAAATCCTGTTATTTCCCCGTGTCCAGTCACACACTCTTGTTTCAGTAAATACAGATTTTATTTTGGACCCCACTGAGTTGACATATCTGCCACTTGATAAACTATTCATGGAAAACTAATAAACATCACAACTTCCAGTAAATGAGTTTAAATGAAAATCTTATCAAATGCTAGGAATTTCTTCTTTGACATTCTGACACGTACATCAACAAAACAAAAAGTTTCCACATATAATGCAAAAATATTTTTTTTTACATTAAATTTGTATAAAATTAAAGGAAACTTAATCTTAGACTAGTTATAAAATATATGCATTGACCTACTGCCAAATTGGTTTCAGTCTTTAGAAAAAGCTTAATCCATTCCAGTCACTGACTTTAAGCCACAGGCATGTAGATTCTTGTTTCTCATGTATAGCATTAATCTCTATATCTTCAACTTAGAAGCAGGACTAAGACCATGGTTTGGGTGAACACATGATTTATTTTAGTAAAACATCAATATGTTTCAGTGTTACATAATAACCAATAATACACATAGAAACTGCAGATTACATAATAAGCGATAATGAACATAATAAACTGCAGAACACTGAATATCTATAAATATAAATCATGTGATAAATCTCCACTACACTAACCACTCATATCACTTTCACTCAATCACTTTCTCTCATAAAGTTGGGCGGGAGGGGTGGTATAAAAAATACGCAACAAATGGCTGGAAAATTTTGACGAGGTCTGTGTGCACCGAAAAATTTTTTGAAAGTGACGCTAAAATGGTAGGTCTTTCCTAATCTTAAGAAAATACTGCAATTTCATTGGTCAGAATTTAAAAGACAGTCCAGCGTTAATTTGATTGGTTTAAGGATGCGAAAAACAAGATTTTGATTGGCTGGTGCAACTTGTTTTTCCAGGGGGCGCTTTTGCAACCCTGGAAACCAAAATTAGGACTGGGGCTTACCCCTAGGGGGCACTACTGACCAGAAGTAAACAAAGCAACAAAACAAAACAATAGCAAAACAAAATGGCCTCATTTCAGATTTGATTAATAAATATTAAATTACTTTAATCTATCTTTAGTCTCAGTCAACTGTATGTTCATATGACCCTACCTCAGTATTTACAGATACATCCTTTGTATGAAGGTCCTAAATACCAATGATGTCTGGGTAATGGCAATGGGACATAAAAAATTGACTTAAACATTTGCAGGGGTGCCCCTAAAAATCTTGTTTTAAATTATTCCCTAAATCAAAATTTCCTTTAATTTAGGGGCAGGCCTGCCCTAAAGGACTTCTATGCCAAAAATCATGCAAAAATTAGTGCTTCAATGGACTAAATGCTATTTTGACCAACTTTGGAGGTTAATTCAGAATTCTCTTTCATCCTAGGACTTTCAGTAAGGCGTGGAATTTACAGCAATACGAATTAGCATCTCAAATGTGAATAGATTCTCATGAATACTTATAAATTAACAAATTTTGCCAATAAACTCCGAAACGGCTGCACAAGCGTTCTTACTTAAGCCTGTAGGAAAACACTAGGCATTAGGTTATGTCCGTAAACTATATTCAGATTTCACTTGCATAGTTATTATCATAATTTAATTAAAATCTACTTTCATTTTCGGTTAACAGCCTAAAAAGCATAAAATAGAGTAAAGTGATGGTTCCGGTTTGCGGATCTAAAGTTACTGGCATTTTATAATAAAACTGATGACAAGCAAGCGGTAATCTATTTCATAAAATGTCATTTAATTTAATAATGCAAATTATTCAATCAAAACTTCAAATGAGTGTTAAATAAGAGATAAGCTCTGGTCATTGATTAAAAACAAAATGTTCAAATCCTTTCCATTTATATCCAGTCTCACTCTTTATTGAAAGTTCTAGAAATCAGATAGCATCCAACCCGATGTCAAAAAGAAAATCGAGGCAATTACTTATCGATCATGAATGGGCATGGAAATAAATGTAAAGCAATTGGTATCACAAATGAGTTTGTGAATACCCTATAACGGGTTATTTTTACTGCTGTAAATTTTTACGAGTTTTAGCTGATATAAGGTGATTTAAATTATTATGTGTTAATTTTTTACGAATTGAGCATGTCCGTAAAAATTAAAATCATCGGAGGTGAAATTCCAGATCAATATTTGAGCATCTTGAATGCCTTTACATACAAATAGGCCTAATGCATCTGGAAAACTCAAAATCAACATGAAATTATTCCCGCAGTATCGAATGAGATTCATTAAATTATGATATATGTTTGTTCATTGAATTATATGTCATTTGCCCTTCTTTGATTCCAGTGTTTTTTAAAAAAAATTAAAACATGATTTGCTAAGGAACATTATTGATGAGCACCAAGTGCCCGTCTTCATTTTACCGGAAATATAAAGAGAGACAATGCAAACCATCATGATTTACTTGACACTAGTGTGCTAAAAAGTCACTTTTTTATTGAATGCACCCTTACAGAAAAAACTAATAGAAACTTATAAGTGTTTTATAATCCACTTATTAGCAACTTATAAGTCACTTATAAATTTTGAAATTTACTTATAGGTGTACTATAAGTCAAAGTGAGTATAAGTGAGGAACGGATTTCATTAATACTTCACTTATAAGTAAAGATGAGCTACATATCAGAGAATATTTCACTTATACCTCACTTATAAGTGAAGATCAGTATGGTATGAGCGAAGTATAAGTGTGGACTTAGAATGTTTACCCTATACTAGACTTCTCTCAAGGAGCATTATGGGTATTCAAGGTAGCCAATCAGAAAGTTTGTCTCTGCAGAGATCAGCAACAAGAATTTGAAACCAAGTTTGTGTTTGTGAAAGGATGTTGGAGATTTTAGATTTATTTTGAGTATGCCTTCACATCAGGTACAACAAGTAGGTTCTATTTACATCATCTCTCTATTTTAACTTCCTTTGCCTGAAATTTTGAATCAATTGACTCAGTTGCTTTCAGATTTCATAAATTTGAAGAAGCCTCAAGGTCATTAAATCTTGTTGCCTTTTTGTTCAACATTTTTGTTTGTAAACTGAATTAATATGTTAAGTTTGCATCATCAAAGAAATGTTATATGAAAGTGATTTTTTTCCATGAAATTTTTACTTGATTATTTCATCTAAAGTGCAGATACATGTGTATATGTAAAAAAAATAGCTTTGAACATATCATGCAACTCCTGCATGGTTGGAAGTTCTGTTCTAAATTAAGAGCTTACAGGTAGTGTTGTACTTCACTTATAAGTCACTTATAGTCACTTATAAGTGACTAATACTTGATAAAGTATGAAGGGTTAATGCTTGACTTATAAGTCACTTATAGTCACTTATAAGTGACTATACTTGCATAAAGCATAAGTGGCTAATACTGGCTTATAAGTCACTTATAGGTCAAGCAGCTCATTTGCATATAAAATCCTAATGAGTAACATATTAGTCACTTAATTATA